AGCAGCAGGCCTGCTTGTGGGTCGGCTGCTGCCTTAGAATGGGGGCCACACTCTCTCCTAGGTAGCGAACTTCCCACTCTGGGAAGAGCCAGCTGCTGGCACCGCTGAGGGCAGGCTTTTCTGCCTAGTCGGTGAGCACTTGTGGGCTCCAGAGATGCAGCACAGGTAGCTAGTGGAGGCTGGGAGGCCAGAGCCCAGTGGAAGGACAGTGCCCAGGCTGCCAGGACAGCGGGATGGCGACCTGGTGACGGTATGTGCAGGCAGACCAGGAAGAAAGAGGGCCAAGACCTGTGAGAGGCAGTGCGAGCCTGCGGGCACCCTCATGCCTGCCCGTGCTGCCATTCGAGGGAGTGCTGAGGGCCAGAGGGGACTGCTCTTCCCGCTCTGGGCAACCCTCTCTTTCTTACCATGAGTGGCTCTGGTGCGTCTGGATTCATGCTCACACTTCAGGGGCAACTCTGAAGTCATGTTTTCCCTGGTAACGTAATAACTCGTGGAGAGGAAATGCATTGTTTCCAGCAAGCCACTTGGTGTGTGGAGGGATCAGGAGGGGCTGCTCCGGCTGCCCACCAGGTCCGACTGACCTTACTGTTTCCCTGCAGGGTCTGCCCATCCTTGCAGGACAAGTTCAGCTCGCTGAAGGGAGCTCCAGTGGAGGTCAAGATCGAAGGTGGGCCTCGTGGTGGGAGTGTGGAGTCGGGTGGGCATCCTGGGCAGTTCTGAGCTAGGTCATGGCCTCCCTGTTCTCCGCCATACTGCTGCTTCCTTCTACAGGCGCACACCCTGGGGATGTTGCCGCCGCCTTCCGGAATCGGCCCCTGGGGTCCTGCTCCAAGTCCTGGACTTTTTCCGTATACTGGACGGTTACTCAGAAAATGCCCTGGGCACCCTAGAGGTCCCCACTTCCTGCTAGGGCTGCCAGCAGGAGGACAGGAAGGGATGGTGTTTAAGGGCTTTAGGGCTTCCTCTTGCTTTGGCCTCATGTGGTCTCAGTGAGGTCTGCGGACCCCATCCACTCCTCAGACAGCTGGCTGGCTTCCACCCGGAAGTCCATCTGCGGACAAGTGGCAGGAGTAGCCCCTTTGAAGCCTAGAGAGCAGCGTGGGCACACAGCAAGAGGCAGCCCTGGCGCTGGGTGTATCTTCCACCAGGCTCCTTGTGGGTGCCGGGCCTGCTGCCATGTAGCAGAGGCATCCTCGCCAGAGAAGGCCCTTGCAGCCTGCAGGTTGTGAGGCGCCTGGGGTCTGGTGTGCGCTGCCTTTTGGGTGGGTGTCTGCAGTGACGGACTGTTTGTGCTCTGACAGAGATGACAGCTCTAGGCCACGAGCTGATGCTGTGTGGGCCAGATGACCAGGAGATCCTGAAGGTCAGTGCGACTGCTTGTTTTCTGCCTAGGGCCTTAGCTGACATTGGCCTGGGTGGTGGGAGGAGACCCCCCACCCCCCCCACCCCCAGTGCCTTTGAGCTTCCTTGGGTCCCCGAGCTAGCCAGGAGCCTGGGCAGGCTGATTCTGTAGGCATCCTGACCGCTGGGGCTCTTTAGGTAGACCCAGGCATCCGTTGGGCGGAGCTAGGGGGTCAGCTGTGGAGGGGAGGGAGGCTCTGGCTTATGATGGCCACAGGGACAGAGTGCCTGACACTTTGGTGAGTACTTCACATGCCGGTAATTGTCACACCACTCTCGACAGTCGGTGTGTATCAGCCTCATCTCACAGGGAAGGTGACCAACAGCTGACCTGAAGTGACATGGTGGCAGAGCCAGGCCTTCAACCTGGGGTCCTGGTCCCTGAGCCCATGCACTTCCCCTCACGTGCTGTCTGCCTGAGGGTTTCTGTGCACAGGTGCCCCACAGCCAGCCAAAGAAACCCACCCCTACCCTTAGGTTTTAAATTTTGAAGTCATTGCTTCTACTTTTTGGCTTTCTTGGGTCCCCGAGCTAGCCAGGAGCCTGGGCAGGCTGATTCTGTAGGCATCCTGACCGCTGGGGCTCTTTAGGTAGACCCAGGCATCCGTTGGGCGGAGCTAGGGGGTCAGCTGTGGAGGGGAGGGAGGCTCTGGCTTATGATGGCCACAGGGACAGAGTGCCTGACACTTTGGTGAGTACTTCACATGCCGGTAATTGTCACACCACTCTCGACAGTCGGTGTGTATCAGCCTCATCTCACAGGGAAGGTGACCAACAGCTGACCTGAAGTGACATGGTGGCAGAGCCAGGCCTTCAACCTGGGGTCCTGGTCCCTGAGCCCATGCACTTCCCCTCACGTGCTGTCTGCCTGAGGGTTTCTGTGCACAGGTGCCCCACAGCCAGCCAAAGAAACCCACCCCTACCCTTAGGTTTTAAATTTTGAAGTCATTGCTTCTACTTTTTGATTATGATGAATAATGTGGCCATGAACATCTTCATATACGTTTCTCACCTGGTTTTAGTTCTCTTGGGTATATAGTTGGGACTGGAACTGCTGGGTCATACGGTGATTTTATGTTGAACCTTTTTAAGCACTTATTTGCTCATTCATTCCGTGAGTGGGAAAGAGCTGTATAGCGAGAGGCAGAGAGGTACCAGCCTTGACAGGCTCCTGCTGCTGTGACCCAGCCCCACGTCAGCCTGGGTCCTGGCACGAGTGCACCTGGAGTACTCTAGGAGGTCTCTGGACTTGAACTGGGGACCTTCCCACATGGGACTGCCTCACGGAGTGTTGTGTTTTGCCACTGCCCCACTGTCTGCCCCAACATGTGTCCCTTTCTGGGAAGCCACCAAGGTGTTCTCCATTCCACCAGCAATGGAGGAGGCTTCTAATCGACCCTCAGCCTTCACCACTAGTCGTTACCATTCCCCTTGCAGGTCTAGCCATGGTTCTGATTTGCGCTCCCCTTATGACTGATGATGTTGAACATCTTCCCGTGAGCTTATTGGCCTTTTATCCTCTTTGGAGAAATGTTTGTGTTCAAACCCTTTGCCCACTTTTTAATTTGGTCATTTGTTTTTTTCTCATTGAGTTGTAAGAATTCTTTTTGTTTATTTATTCCATGAGAGAGAGGGCATACCCGGTGTATGCAGGGAGACCCTGGGACGTGAACCTGAGACCTTTCCATGTGGCCTCAGCATTGCAGAGTTTTGCATTGCCACTATGCACTGTGACTGACCAAGAATTCCTGGTATATTCTAATACCAGTGGCATCAGATATTTGATTTGCAAATATTGCCTCCTACTCTGTGGATTGTCTTTTTTTTGTTTTTGAGAGGTTTTTGCTACCGGCCACATGCAATCACCAGAGAGACAGAGACAAAAAGTGACAAATCACTCCTGAGAGGGGATGGCCATGCCACCATCTCTTCCATTCTCTCAGGATTTTGGGCACACATGCACATGTGCTTGGTGTGAGTTTTAAGCCACTGGGTCTAGGACTTGAAACGCTGTCAACTGTGTAGGAGTCCAGTGACGTACCCACCACGCATCTGCTGATCCTGTGGTTTGTCTTTTCTTTCTTTTCTTTTTTTATTTTATTGCCAGAGGGACATGTACTCTCTAGAGGGACAGCAGAGGAGGGAGAACACCCCCAGTAGGGTATGGTCATGCTGCAGTCCCCTTTCCTCCATCTCTATTCTGTCAGGATTTGGGGCATGCACGCACGTGTGCCGCACGATTTTCGTCAGCCCAGCCAGGATTCAAACTAGTCGGCCACATGGGATCCAGTTTCCCTTAACCACTAGGCTATGGTGCCAGCGCCATTTTCTTGATGAATCCTTTGGAGCATAAAAGTTTTTCACTTTGCCGAAGCCCATCTAGTTGGCATACATTTTCTTTGGTTGCTCATGCTTTTGGCATCATGTCCACCACCAAAGTCAAGGCTGTGAAGATGTACCCCTTGTGCTTCCTTCTAAGTGTTTTACCGCCTTAGCACATGTATTTAGGTCTTTGTCTGTTGTGAGTTTTTATGTGCTCTGTGCATTTGTAGATCCAGTCGTCACAGTATCATTTATTGAAAAGACTTTCTTTCCTGTTGAATCGGCTCAGCATCCATGTCGGAAGTCAGTTGGCTATGAATGTGAGGGCTTATTTCTAGGTTGTCCATTATATTCCATTGATCTGTGTGTGTCTTCGTGCCGGGACAACACAGTGTCTTAATCACCGTAGCTTTGGAGTAAGTTTCAACATGTAAGTCCTTGGACTTGTTTTTTTCTTCCCCCCGTTTTTAAAAGATAGTTTTGTCTACTTGGGACTCCTTGCAATTCCATAAGAATTTGCGAACCAGCTAGTCAATTTCTTCTTTCATTTTTAAAAAAATTTGCTAGAGGGTACACACATTTACCAGAGGGAGAAGGAGAAAGCACCCCGCAGTGGGGAGTGGTCATGCTGCAGTTCCATCTCCTCCAATTCTCCCTCCTTTTGGGATCTTTGTGCATGCACACACACGTACCTGATGTGTTTCTCAAGCTGCTGGGTCCAGGACTTGAATCGCGTCGGTTGGCCATGTGGGATCCAGCTGTCTTAACCAGGTGGCCACAGTCTAGCCCAGCTTGTCAATTTCTATAATAGGCCTATTGGGGTTTTAGCAGACATTGTGCTGGATCTGTTGCTTGATTGGGGGTTGCCATATACCAGCTCGAGTTCTCTGAACATCCATATAGGGTGCCTTTACGTTCGTTTAGGCCTTCTTTTGACCTTTCCAGTGATGTTTGTACTTTCAGTGTACAGGTCTTGCACGTCTCACGTTAAGCTTATTCCCATCTCACTCTCTACAACACCACTGTAAGTGCGATTATTTTAAGGTTTCTTTCTTTCTTTCTTTTTTGGAGAGGTTTTTGCTATAGGGCATATGCGCTTGCCAGAAAGATGGAGAGAGACAGAAAGTGAGAAGTCACCCCCCAGGGGAGATGGCCACGCCGCAATCCCTTCTCCTTCATTCTCCTCTCAGGATCTTGGGCACACACGCACACGTGCCTGGCGATTTTAAGCCATCGGGTCCAGGACTCAAACTGCAGTCGACTACGTGGGAGTCCAGTGACATAGCCATTATGCTAACTGCTGGTCCCCTCCTTTTTTTTTTTTTTTTTTTTAGAGATTTTTGCTGTAGAGCGCATGCACTGCCAAAAAGACAGAGACAGAAAGCGAGAAATCACCCCCCAGGGGGGATGGCCACTCCGCGATCCCTTCTCCTCCATTCTCCTCTCGGGATCTTGGGTGCACATGCGCCTGGCGTTACTTTAAGCCACCGGGTCCAAGACTCGAACCATAGTCAGCTACATGGGAGTCCGGCATAGCCATTACACTAACTGCTGGTCCCAAGGTCACTTTCATTTCATTCATTGCTAGTGCTTAGAAACGTAAGGGATTTTTGCATATTGCGCTTGTATCTTACCACCTGCTAAAGCTCGTTCATTTGTTCTAATAGCTTCTTAGTGGATTCCTTAGGCTTGGCTTGGCTTGGCTTTTCCTTCCTTCCTTCCTTCCTTCCTTCCTTCCTTCCTTCCTTTCTTTAAATTTGACTAGAGAGAGACAGAGTAAGAGAGAGACAGAGTAAGAGAGAGGGAGAGAGGGAGGGACCCCCCACAGGGGGGAATAGCTGTGCCACAGTTCCTTCTGAATTTCTCCTCTCGGGATTGTGGACACGTACGCACATGTGCCTGGCACGTTTTTCAAGCCTCTGTGTCTAGGACTCAAATCGTGTAGTTAGCCATGTGGGATCCAGCTGCCTCCACCTCCATGCCATCTGCTGGCCTGCCTCTCTTAGGGTTTTCTGTATATCATCTACAAGTAGAGACAGTTTTATATACAGAGCTTCATCTACAAGTAGAGGTAGTTTTATATAGAGATGGTTTTCATTTTTCAGTGGGTGCTGTTTCTTTCTTTTTCTTACTTGAGTGCTCTGCTAGACCCTCCGTGCTGAGCAGAAGTGGCTGGGGGGGGGGGGGCTGCCATGCTCCTGATCTTAGCAGAAGGGCTTCCACCCTGCATTCCCTGTCGAATATGATGCTAGCTGTAGGTTTTGTGGATGTCTTTATGGGTTGAAGAGTTCCCTCCAACTCCAAGGTTGCTGAGTGAAACGGCATAATGAATGGATTGGGTTCTGCATGTGCTGATGGAGCGTTGAGATGGTCGTGCGGCACTGTGCTTCCTTTTATTCTTCCTTCACTCGCGATGGCCCAGGTTTCCTCCTGGCGCCATTTCATTTCCGTCAGAAGAACTGCGTTTGGCAGCATTTTTGGAGGCAGTCCTCCGGGCCCCAGCCCTCTTAGTTTTCATGTATTGGAGACCATCTCTTGTCTCTTCCCCCTTTGTTGCTGAAGAGTCTTCCATTGGATATAGACCTGTGGGTTCGTAGTTCTTTCTGGCCTTCCCAGATTCTAAAGGGAAGTCTATAATCA